GTTGAAGTCCACTCGTCTTAAAGTGGCCAAGTTTGGACAACACTGAACTAGGCTGTGGAAGCTGTTGCTGCACAACAACCATCGTCTCCACTGGCTAAGGCTGATGGGTCTCCCAGTCATATCTCGAGGGCCAGTTTCCTTGCCTCTGTTTCTCCCCTTCCTAGTGCAGCTGGAAAGGAGACGGGCTTTCCTTTGGCACCAGGCATCCATGCAAACACCTCCCTGTTCCCTTATTAAGAAAACTGCAAAATGATCCGGTAACGTGCAGGCAGGACAGATGCTTTTCTTCCCCAGTTCATGTGGACCCTCCCAGTTCCAAACTTCTCAGCCACCAGAGGCAAGAGCCGCCCATTTAGATAAAAGGGGACTAAAACAATTCACGGGGGCTGTCAATCCCCTTGCTGATGGTTGCCTCTGTTGGTGGATGTATAGTGTTTGTATGGTGGGTTAGGGTTAGGGTTAGGATGGTGGGATCATATGGTGTGGCCTCTATTGGCCTCTTGGATCTTTTAATCTCTTTTCTATCTCTGTAAGTGTGCTTCTTTTTATAACTTTTAATCATGTCTTTATGATTTTAATTTGATGTAAGCCGCCCAGAGTCCCCCACTGTGGGGAGATGGGCGGGGACAAGTCCAATGAATGAATGAATGAATGAATGAATGAATGATCCCCAAAGCCCACCTTCCACTTCGTTGGGAGGGACCCCTCCCCATGCTTCATCTTTTCCTTTGAGATGTTCACTCCGTCTCTCTCCCTCTCGCTTTGGCACACAGTGCTCTCCCGTCACAATATACAGCACCTCTTATGGAACACACACCCACTTTTCTCAGCCCCGCCTGGCTCCCCATACAGCCCAAGAGCTGCACGCCAAGCACTACCCCAAGCCAATCTATTCTTACAGGTGAGTAATTCACACCATTCCTTTCTTTCATTAAGATTTGGCCTAGTTATCAGATCCAGTCTCTGGCGCGACGTTCGTTTTTTAAAAGCCCTTAAATCGTTTCCCCCCAAACCGTAAAGTTGGCCAAAGTTGGTTGGCATGAACATCAGCTTGAACCAAGTAGGAAGGAAGGAGGTGGCTCGGGTAGTTAATGCCTTCTGGCTCCTGCTGAAAACGGTTCTCCCTCACGCTGCACTAAGGGAGTCGCTCGCGCCTCTTCTTTGGACATGGCGTGCAAAAAGAACCGCATTGAGCGAAGATGAGATGGTTTTCATCAGGGGTTTGCTTTAAAGGCAACAGTATTAGCGGGGTTCTGTGGCAGGAAAATCCCACTGCTTGGAGTCCCCATCTGTAGATTTTTCTTTTTTAAAAAATGGAGACCAGAGTAAAGCTCCTGAGCATTATGGACTATCCAGATGAGGAGCATACCATTGCCTCCGAAGCAGCCGCTGCTTTTGCCAGCTGTATTCCTCCATCTGCAAATGAGAAGTGCAGATCTTTTAAAGAATAAATGGGAGCCAGTTGGTGCAAATAGAAAGAGCCCATGAGGTGGGGAGGGACCCCGCCTCATCGGGAGACTCCTTAAAGGGGCAGGGGTTGGGTTCAGGAATATGGTGGGGGACTGGGAAGCTGACTCTCCGTTGACGCTCCCGCAGCTGCCTGATTGCCATGGCCTTGAAGAACAGCAAAACGGGCAGCCTCCCCGTGAGTGAGATCTACGGCTTCATGAAGGAGCACTTCCCCTATTTCAAGGTGAGGAAGGCTGGGCACCACGGGAGCGCGCCTTTAGCAGTCGTTTCCTGCCGCCAACAATCCACTCTGGGGCACCACCTCCCCAGGGCTAAGACGTGGTGCTCAGCGGAGTGACACAGACCCAAAAGTGGGAATTACACCAAGAAGGTGGGCAGCTGCTCTGCAGGAGGACGTTGACGGAGGGATGGGTATACGGTAGAGCTTTGGCTGTCCAAAGACACCGCTGAAGAGCGGAGAACGTCTCCACTCGCAGAGCATCAGGTCCTGGGAATGATCTCTTTCCCACGACCTGCTCCTGAATGCCTTTTCCCAGGCAGAGCAGACAACTTTGCGCTACCTACAGAAGTGCAGCAAAGTGGCCCCCAGCGCTTCTGTCCCGGGCAAGGCAAGCGTTGGCTTAATGTTCAGACCCAAGGGTGAAGGGTGATGAAGGTCTGGGGGGTCCCAGCACTCAGAGCAGGTTTGTCCTCTGGGCACAGAGCTACATCACTGAGATGTTAACGTTTTGCTGCAGAGGTTGGAAAGCGTGCACACAAAGACCCTGAACTGATGGCTCAAACCAAAGTTTGTGCGCATGTGTGTGTGTGCATGTGTCAGTGCTCACCTGCTTTCCACAGACAGCCCCCGACGGCTGGAAGAATTCTGTGCGGCACAACCTGTCCCTGAACAAGTGCTTTGAGAAAGTGGAGAACAAGACCAGCAGCACCTCGCGCAAAGGCTGCCTGTGGGCCCTCAACCCTGCCAGGATCGACAAGATGGAGGAGGAAATGCAGAAGTGGAAGCGGAAAGACCTCGCTGCCATCCACAGAAGCATGGCAAATCCAGGTAAGCCGCACGGGGCGCAGGGGGCCTCTGCCCAACTCGCTTTAAAATCCTGCAAGAGCTCTCTGACTGGAAGGAAAACTGGGCTGAAAACGCCTCTCAGAAAGCAGCCATCCTTTTCTCAAACCTTCCTCTGAAAAACACGAAAGCTCCCCATTTAAATGGCGCTGTGATTCAGTAGGGTTATCACCCCGCCTTTCCTTTTGCCTGCCCAGCTGGGCAACTAAGACGGCCGTTTCTTCTTGCAGAGGAACTGGACAAGCTGATCACCGACCGCCCCGCTGGCTGCAGGAGGCCCAGCAAGCCGGCGGAGGCCGCCGAAGCGTCCGTGTGTGGCCACGGGGCAGCGGCCACTCAAGGCCACCCCCTGCAGCTGCAGCCCCAGCCAATGGGGACTCTTTCCCTGCAGTCCGTCCGGCTTCACCGGCAAATCCAGACGCAGGCGTGTTTGGCCCCAGACTCGCCGGCCCCTGCGCAGACGCCCCCTCTTCACGCCCTGCCCGGCGTCCACCACAGCCCCCTCCCTCAGCACCTGATGAGTCGGGGCCCTGACTTCCTCAGCGTGATGACCGACTTGAACGCAGAGGTTGATGCCCTGGATCCCAGCATCATGGACTTTGCACTACAAGGTAAGAGGGGAGGTTGGCGAGGCGGAAGCGAGTTTTGTTTTTTTTTTAAACGTGGCAGCTGTGGGGCTCACAGGGGAGGGAGGGGCTCCAGCTGCAGGAATTCTTGCCTGGACCCATCTTCAAGGTGCTTTGTGGGAGGAGACGGTGGCGGTGTAGACGCAGTTTTGGTATCAGAAGGTGTCTTTTAATGGCTGGTCCAGGAGACGTGATTGTGGAGGGGAATATTCTGGCAGTAATATTACTGTATGATCTCCTTTTGTTCCTTCTACACGCGCCTTTGTTAAGAGCACCTGGGGGGAAAGGCTAGGCTTAAGTCTTCAAGTGCTGGAATCATCTGAGCCTAACTGCTCCAGCTGAGAGGAAGACTGAAGCATCCGGTCTGGAGCACGAGATCTTGCCAAAAGCAGTAACATAAAGCTACTGTATTTACTGTAAAAGATGCCCTATTTTTCTCCTTAAATGGGTTTCTTCTGGAAAGCAAAACAACAGGCGAGGAAAAGAGGGGAGGTTGGAAAAGGAAGATGTCATTATCCTAGAATTCTTTGGGCACAGATTTGCACAACTAGGTCTCATTTGGGAGTGCCCTTCGAGTCGAGTTCTGCTCAAAATCGCGCCGTTTCCTTTATCTGAAAGGGAACCTTTGGGAGGAGATGAAGGAGGAGAGCTTCAGCCTTGATGCGCTGGGTGCCTTCAGCAACTCCCCCCTGGCGCTCTCCGACTGCGACCTCGCTCCTGCCAGCCTCCCGCCTGCCCCCAGCGCCGGCGACCACTCCTTTGCAGACTTGCAGGTGACAGGCCTCTACACAACCTACGCTACGCTCGATGCCGTTTCACCCGCACAGTACCTGGGCCCTCAAGGGAACAAGCCCATTGCGCTTCTCTGAAAGCCACGCTACACCCTGGGCTGGGCAGCCTTCTCCCGCTCTCAGACTCCCCACAAGTGAGTGCCAGGTCTTGTGGGGCCACGCCGACTGTGCAAAGACCAGGCAGGTGACACGGACATTGTCGGCCAGCTCCGTTTTCAACCTATCAAGTGATGCTGAAAGGCCACGTTATGGTCTTGAGAAGATTAAACGAAAGCAGCCCGCACGCTTTAAAAACGAAGCCCACGTTTTAAACATCGGGTGGGAGCGGGCCACTTTGACACAGACCTGATTTTGCTATCAGGTCTGCAGCCTGCTTCTCCATCAGAACCTAGACAACATTTCCTTTAATTTAATTTATTGTGGGTTTTTGGGGGAGGGGGGCAGCAAGGAAAAAAATAGCAGTTCTCAAAACAGCTAGATCAAAAGGGGCTAGAAAATTTAAAATAACTTGATCCAAAGGGAGATGTGAAATTCACACCCTCCTCCCCCATCTGCGGTTAGTTGTCCTTCAGGCTTCTGTTGCCCTCTGAGATGACCTCAGCACCCGCTGTCCTATTTCTTATCAGAAGGTAGGCTCTCAGCCTCTCGTCTTCCATGCCCTGGGATCAGTCCGCCCCTTCTTTTCCTGCTTTCACAACTCTGCTTGTTTTCTGATTTTGGGGCTTTGTCCTGGTTATGTTACTGATTCTGCATCCCTTACTTGTTTTCCTCCTACTCGTAAGTACTGTGAAATTATTCAGAGCCCTCTCGAGCTTCCCCTGCTCCTCCTCTCGAGCTCTGCTCCCCAGATGCTCTTTGTGAGTTTTTCTTCAGATTCACCCCTTGCTCTCGCTGAATCTTCTACCTCCCAAAGTCATCTTTCCAGGTCTCAGGCATTCTATCTGAGAGGTGAATTTTAGTCCTAGGCATACTATGTCCATCTTCCCTCCCAGGAGCTGAACACTGCAGACCATTAACCTGGTTTAGTGCTTTGATAGTAAAGGTTTCGGACTATGGAAAGGATGTTTTTAATAGGAAGAGCAGAAAAAAGCCTGGGTTCCAGGACAAATAATGTACTAAATGAGAATTTTTACCTTGAATAGATGATTAGAATTAACAAGCTTACTGCAGATTTTTTAAAAAAATACTAGAGTTTAGAATTAGGATGTTTGTTAATTCTCAGGCTAGGCAGTATTACTGTTTGTAAATTTTATTTATAATTTATTTTTATGAAAACAAAAATGGGATTTGTATGTTCAGCACTGACTTTTGAAAAACACTGTAATATTTTTTTTACTTAATTATTCAAACCACAGCAACTATTTTAAAAATCACCAGGCTACTTTGAACGTTTTTAAACTACACTTTCAAAACAAGCACTTTGGATGTACTTAGAAATACCATTTTCTGTGAAAGACCAAATATAGTTTTATGCAATTAATTGGTACAGCTTTTCTACAACTGACATAAAAATGTTATTTTTTTGCAGGTCAGCCCTGAGTATGTTTACCTAGAAATATATCATGCAGCAATCTTTGCTTACTGTCTTGTTTTAAAAAAGACCACTAACAGAAGGAACTGCAAGCTGCAGTTAAGATCTTCTCATTTAGCATTTACGCTATCAATATCGGCTTAAGTTTTATCTAATATTTATTTTTAAAAACCTTTTTTACTGTGATTGGATAGGGTTTTAATATGTTCTTTCATTTGCTCAGAACTGCATCTACTTCAATTTGGAAGGAAAAAGCGGCTCTCCGTTAAGGCCAGTCCACATTGTTCAAGAAACTTGCACATACGGTTCAGGGCACACAGGACGGTCCCTCTGCCCTCCGTGTTGCAGCGGAGGTCTTAGCGAGGTTGAGTTCCGAGGGAGCAGCGCCACCTTCGCTAGCAGAAGCCCCCCGTCTAGCCAGGCCTTTCGACCCTCCGCTCCCTGGGTCGCAGCTCATGCGGCAGCCTTCCCTCTGGGCTCCCCCTGCCAGCCACCCCCATGGAGACCCAGACCGTTACTCACAACACGCTTGAGTTACAGGATGGTTCTGCTACAGCCCTCTCCTGTACTGTGCCAGAAATAAGGAACAGGCTATACCACATCGGCCTCTTTCTGCCTGGGGAAAAACGGGGGGAAGAGCCCTACTGGCTTAATAAAAGGTTAGGACTAACTCACATTTATAAAGATGTACTCAGGCATACACCCTCCTCCGTGGAGCAGAGTGTGCACAGGCAGTGCTGGCTCAACGGTCCGTGGTCCCCAAGCCACGTTGGCTGATGGCGCCACCTCCCGCCAAGGCGAAGGCTTGCATTTTTAGAATAGCCTTTGTTTTCGGGAGAAGGGGTGGTGTTGGCACCCGCTAAGTTTGGTGCCTACTTGGCCTTAGCCTAAAGCTGGCCCGGGGTAGTTTGGATCATTTAAAGGAAATCTGTTACTGAAAGGTTTTTGGTGAAACTCCTATCAGGTGACCCACACGGGCTGTTCTTCAGGAACTTATTTTGCACAAATGTTCCAGAGGTATCTTTCCTTGATCCAAACAAACGAACAAATATAAGACTACTTACACACATTGTAATGCCTTATGAGACCAGTAAAGCAAAACGCAGACCGATGTGGAAATTGTTTTAAGGAAAGTTTCTCTTTGAAAATGGACTTTCAGTTCTGATGATTTGATGTGCTTTTCATCCCATAATTTACTACTGTCAACTCTGTATGGAAACGAACTACAATAAAAATGTATTACTGATAGAGACTCTGCTAATCAACAGTGGTAAATCAGGGCTAGAAAGCAATTTGCATCTTTTTGGGGGGGGGTGGAGAGTGAACAAATACAACTGGAACTGTTAAGAGAATCAAGACTTGTTTAATGAATCTCCAACTCACAAAAGATCAAACAACATGAGGTCTGTAGGAAAAGTCAAAGAGTTGTTATTAAAAAAACAGCTATTTAGGGCTCTTCCAACAGTGGCTTTTAGGGGACTCCCTTCTGCGATAGGACATATTCGTTAACCGCTTTCTAACGAGAAAAAGCAATATTTTGCTACTTGGCTCTTCCTTCCCTGAAGGAGGAGTTTATAACCCTGTTTCTTTTAGGGGGGAAAAAGAAGCATTTCTGTCCCGTACCAGATGCACTCAAGCATTAAACCCCAGAGGCAGTCTGCACTCCCACGAAGGATTAAGGGAACTGCCAAGAACCGCAGCCCTGCAAAGGATATGCTGAACAATGTAAATTACCTTCGGCTGTCACCTCCTTTGTCCTAGGTCTCCTTCATGCTCTTAGAAAGGACTTTGGGGATAAAGGGTTTTGTGCATCTGACGTTACAAAGTCCATCATACCTTCGACCTGCAGATGATTTATCCCTTTAAAAGCGTATTTTGATTTTCTAGCTTCGAGCAAAATCCAATAATATCAGGAATACATTAAATAGCACCATATCCATTTATATAACACCTAACTAAAATCTCAGTCAGTCAGGAACAAAGATGGGGCTCCCTTACAAGAGGTAGCTTGTGACAGAACCCAAATACCTAGCTGCGGGGGGG